GATAAATCAATTTTAATTTGAACTAGTTCATATTAAAATTTTATTTATTCCTAGGAATATTTTAAATTCTCCTACATTTCATTTATTCCTGCGACATATATATATATATGGTGCTAATAAATCAAGAAGAAATGAAACACAAAGCATCATTATGTACTATCACATCTTGTGATACATTGACGGTATTATCCTGGATAAGAGTCTAGTAAATTTTGAATAAAAATCTGATTATCAAGCGCATACGTGATATAGACTGTCGTATTAAGTTCTCTATAACTTCCACTGATTCAGTACTACTTGAAATGTCATGGACTGATGCAGTACGACAGATTACCATGTAAAGTAATATTTTCGGTTCTGTTCTGTTTCTCAACTTGAGTCACATAACGTTGCTAAAACAGAAACACTGCGCTGATTCATCGTTTCACTGCCTATATAATACACCTGTTTCGTTGATATAAAAGATAAGAGATATTTAAAGAAAAAATGGCAGCACTATTAGATGCAAGTATTGAAGCAAAACATGGTAAATTAGGCTCTGATCAATCTTGGAAATCACCACGTCTTATAGCGTCAAGTACGGAAAAAGCACGACCCGATGTAACAGGAACTGTAGACGCGTCAGAATACTTGGATGACCCAGATGTTCTTGATCAAAAAGTGTCTGTTCTAGCATCGCTCATTCGTCAAAGTCAACAGTTTGTTGTTTATACTGGAGCTGGGATATCCACATCATCAGGCATTGGTGACTATGCTTCGAAAGCAAAGAAATCAATTGTAATGAAAGAAACAAGTGTTAATCGACTGAAAGCTGAACCGACGTTGACTCATCATGTTTTAGTTGCAATGGAACGTCGTAACTATATAAAACATTGGATTCAGCAGAATCATGACGGCCTAGCTCAGAAAGCAGGTTATCCACAAGCAAAATTAAATGAAATTCATGGATCATGGTTTGATAAGAAAAATCCGGTCGTCTTGATGGACGATCAGTTACGACCGGATCTGTTTCGTTGGTTACAAGAATGGGAAGAAAAAGCTGATTTATGTTTAGCAATGGGGACCTCAATGTGTGGTATGGAAGCTGACTGTATAGCGACAACCGTTGCTCAACGTCCAGGAACGCTAGGTCTAGCAATTGTTAATCTCCAGCGCACACCACATGATCATCTATCAGCTGTGCGAATCTTTGCACCATGTGATGAAGTGATGCAACTGTTAGCGAAAAAGCTCAAGTTAAAATTGCCACCAAAAAAGTATTATTAAGATGGTAACCCGAATCGATATGCATATAAATTTCAATTTCGAAAAAATAAGAATGTGAATAAGAATGCTAATTGTTAAATTTAATTAAATTAATTAAGAATGTTAATAAGAATGTTAAATTTCTGAGCAACAGAATAAACAATCAGTATAACATAAATAGATATGCATCGACATCAGCTATAAGAAATATTTCTGTTTTCAGTACGAGTGATACTCTATGTATACTATTACTGGTAACAGTAATACTGAACAATATTCCTGTTACTATAATAGAAATATGCGATAAACTTCGTTTTAATTATTTTTCCGCTTTTCTTGTCCATCTTTTTAAATATAAATAAAATTTTTACTTTCCAGTTTGAAACCTCGGTTTTGTAACCAATCGCTAGAGCGCCTTGAGATGTATATGTGAAAAGATTGTCGTCGGTCCCCGACTAGGTTTGGCGGAGAAATTCGCATTTGATGTTCAGAAAATGTGAGTGTAGAAGTTGTTTATCATGCTCTTTTCTATGGGATAGTACTTTAAAGTCGCTAAATTTCTTCAAGGTCAATTGCTAAGGCGTAATCTTCAATTTACCTCCATTTTCTTGTTTTCCGCCAGAAAGGGTATTTCGAGGTCCAGATGCAAATGCAACCATTATTAATTCAGCAGCACCACCAGGCCAAAGCTCTTCCACACCTGTCGGATCGGGTAATTTTTGAAGAACTTTTCATTTTTGCTTTTCTTTCAAACCCATCTGATAATATGGAATCGACCACATTGATCACGAATATCCGTATTAGAAGTGTCCTAAATGGTTTGATACGGCGGAATCGTCAATTTATCTCCATTTTCTTGTTTTCCGCCCCAAAGGGTATCGAGGTGCCCTAGCCGACGAAGCATCTGAAAAACTAAAATAGATAGTGATTCAGATGTAGAATTTTATACTGAGTCCGAATATAAAATTAGAAAAATTACAAAAGCTCAAACCCTTTTGAAAATCGGCCAAAACTGATGAAAATCGTGTTTTCTGACGATATTCGCCCTAGATGATCCAGACAGAAACCCAGGTACCTCGTCCATTTTTTACCCTATATATAACTTTTCACGCTCTATTCGCTGGCGCTAAAAAGAAATAGGAAACACTTGTAAAACGGGGCAGCAAACTCGCTTTAAACGATTTTCAGCAGATTTTCGGTGGTATTTTCTAAATTTCGCCACTAAAACAACACTTCAGACAGAAGCGAAGCTCATATTCGGAATGTGCGTGAAAAATACAGCCGAATGACATATATCTCATGATTTCGGTTACTATCACTGTTCACCAAAAAATTTGCACTTGGTACCCCTTAGGAAAATGGAAAAATTAATTTTCATAAAACTCAGTTTTCTGGAATGGTTGTCTCTCGAGATGACTTATTTTGACAGTTTAAGCCAAAACAAGCAGGTTAAAGTGTAACATACAAAAAAGACTTGGAGACAAAAAAATTTCGATTCTCATAACTCACTGTGCCTAACATGCGTGGGAAGTTTCGTCAGGATCGGATGACGGCGGGTGGAAGCATCCCCAGCTCTGAGAGAGACAGAAATTCTGTCATGCAATACGACAAATGCAAAGCAATCAGAGCCCTGCAGGTTAAACCTACCCTACCCTAACCTACTATAACCTATAGGTTGGGTTAGGATTAGGTTCCACAGTTACAGATTATGTTGCAGGTTGACTTTTAGTTTTTTTCGATTTTTTTCTAGCGAAATTGTTTTTGACTTTGAGTCATCGATGTTCTAATTCTTTGATAGGCAAAAAACTCAGTGACACGTAGGTTTACTTTTGTCAAATATGCGTGTAATATTCTGTGGGTTGAAAACACAAATTCACAAGATTTTATAGATTAGGTTATAGGTTGCCAAAAAGTGGCAACCTGCAGGGTGCTGAAGCAAATGTAAATAGAGATATATCTTAGATATATGTGTATCTCTATCTGAATGCTAGAGGCTTAATGTTTACTTCGAAAGCCGATACGCATAAGTGTGCTGATTTCTGTATTTTGCTTTTTCGTACGAGATTCAAAGAGCATGCGGAAGTCTGTGAATAATATATTAGGAATGAGTACATGTAATATATTTTCAATATATTATTGATGTAAACTAGATAAAGAAGTTCGAAAATCGACTCCTGTAGGATATCAACCATCACCAAATTGCGAAACATCTTGTGGACGGCTTATCCAAAGGTAATGCTGTGACATTTTTGATGCAGTAGTCTGTGCTTTTCTCTAAAACTATAAGAGCTAGAAAGTTCGTTTTTGCGCCAGTCGACGCGGCTCTTCTTACTCTAATTTGAGTATAAAAACGAAGATTTTTGGTTAAAGACTCGAGCTTCCATAAAACCTGTTTAGACCGGTAACACTGTGACATAAAAAGACCCGAAATTCTAACTACTCCACATTAAAGTACAAATTTCTGCGAATTTTTTGGAAGAGCTAATAAAAAGTGTCTTGAACAGAGTTCATATAGGAGCTAACGGACTTTCTTTTGCTAAAAAACTTCTTTTCAGAACCCTTTACTTTGTAAACTGTTAGATAATTCGTTTTCTTGTCTTTATAAGAAAATTCAATTTGATAACTTCAAACGGTTTTTAAGTCTTTTTCACACGCAATGCGCAACGATGAGGACATTTCATCAATAAGTGAAAGTGTGTGTCTTATTTGTTTATATTCTTCCTTATAACAAAAAACATTTGATTGTTGTCTGTCCAAAATTGAGTTCTTGTTTGTTCTTCTGAACTTTTAAAGTCATAGCTAATTCAATAATTGGCTCGACCTTTATCATATCGCTTGGATCTGTGAACTTGCCTTCTCTGGGGTCAAGAATTGTTGTCATTGTCTCGGTCCCACAGTGAAGCCCTGTCCTTGGACACTTGAAGTCTAGCTTTATCACCGTATGATGATCAGCAAACTGAAATACATACGATAGCAACGGCTCCAGTCTACACCATGCTCGCTCATGATAATCTTCAGTTTCGATTCTTAGGAAACGCTCGCAGCATGCCACCCAGAGTGGGAGCAGCGGAATTGCCGATATCATGTTATGTTGATCAATGCAACAAAAATCGATCCAATAGAAAATTTCTGGCGAAAAACCATGTTGTTTATACACCCACGTCCTTCTCCAACGTGAAAACTCGTTTAATGCTCTTGCCTTCTCATTTGCCACTGAATCTGGATGAGCTTCGACTGGATTTAAACTTGGTCGCAACCAGCGATGACTAACCATAAATATCTCACATCGGGCAGCACCATACATATTGATTCCTTCGATCGCATCAACAGTAAGATTGTCATCGCTATGCGGTATTCGTCGTGTTTGCACAATCTGAGACCAATGCAATAGTCGCATACGCGGTCCTTTTAAATCATTTGCCTGCTTGATAAGCGCTCGACGATCAAAACCCGACACGTCTTGGACGAAGTCTTTATTTTTCAGAACTTCTGAAACGCGTGACCACATATCCGTAGTACTCATATTTGACGAAAGATCACGACAGGTAACACATCGATTCTATTAAGACACTTTTTTTCTTTGATTTCTCACTTTTAGCCACGTCAGAATATATTTTTATGCGTACTTACTTTTAATTGTAGAACAGAAATTCTTGTAGTTGTAGAACAGAAGAGAAAATTCTTTTGCAAAACACAATCAACAATGTTGCAATACCAACAATTTACAATATTATTCAACCTTCAAAGTGTAGGATGTATGCTAGAAAATTGAAAGAAACGAATTGAAAGAAAATATTTATTCTCTCTCTTTCTTTCCTTCTCCTGTTCTCTTACTACGTACACTGTAAAAAATTTCCGTATTTTGAAAAATGTTTAAAGCGTTCCGGAAATTGAAACGACACCGAATGAATAAAAGTTTAGCAAAATACCCGTAATAGTCTGTTCATTTTTCTCGATTTTACAAAATATGTTTTTCTCTCTCTTACAAAGAATGTCTATTTCTCTCTTTCAACCTACTTGATAACCACCCTCTTATTACATATATTTTGTCTTTGGTCGATCAATTGGGTCAAGTGGATCATGACGTTTGACGAAGTCATTATAATACCAATCATTGAATTTTACCTGATCATGCAACGGTAAGTTAAACATATCTTTAGAGTATTTAGATTTGTATCCTTTCATTTCTTTGAATTTATAGATTATCATTTTCAGATTATTTTTTATTGCTGAATCATGAATGAACAGTTCAAAAGTCAACGTTTTTTTGTACCTTTTGCAATCCTAATAGGAAAAATGAAGAAAGTACGAAACAGATAAACTCTTTCGTATTTTACCTTCATCAACACTGTGCGAGTTAAATGGAGCTATCGCTAGTTCATTTTTTTCCAACAACAGTTCAGCATGAACATTACTTGTCTCATTTTTTCGTTTAATAGAACTGGTATACAATGAACTTTCTACGTGTAAAATATCGGATTTGATGAATGTATTGACGATATTCGGATGTAGTACTTTTCATAATGAGCAACGGTTAATATCGGCAACAAATTATTTAGTGAATAAAAATAATACAAGTTATAATAATACAACATACATATAATAATACAAGTTTTGAAATTGTGTCGTCTTAAAAACATTAGTTCAATTGACAAATAACCAGTATCTGTTTCACATACTGCAAAATAGTTTATCCACTTTTCATATTTTTTCATTACTATCAAACACGTCGTAATATTCCAAGTTATAATTCACATCAAGAAAGGATTAAAATATTCTTAGAATATTTTTCCAATTTAATCTCAAATTGAGTACAACTTTCTTCAGTAAAAATAGGGCCATTCTAATCACCAAAATTTTTATAGAGAGTTGGTTAAAACGTCGCGTACTTCCAATCTCTATGCTGATAGTGCATTATAGTCGGCGAGTTCGATCCTTGTTGGGATCGAAAAACTGAAAGTTCTCCAAATCACTTAATCGCATTTCTATCTAGCGCCTACAACTTTTCAAGGGCTATCTAGAGCTGGCACTATCTTGAAGCGGGTTTCCAACAGTTCTTTGGCTCGGAGCTAAGAGCTGAACTGTTACGCCCCTAGTCGCAGTTCTTTCAGAAATGTTTTGTCTACACGCGGCAGCTATTTCTAAAAAATTTATCGCTCGAATCGGTGAGCTTGGCTTTCTGGGATTTTCGTGCTCGAGAGACCCAGACTATAGAAACTTTAATGAAGTATTTATGTACCACACGTTAGATTGGAAACTCTATCGCCTATTCAGATCTTTCTCAAATTTTTCTAGGTAGGTAGAGTTAAACAGAAAAAATTTAGCAGCTAATAATTTTGAGAGACACAGTACATAAAAGTCGCGAAGGTCATATAGCATTCAGTATATAAATACCTTTTTTATGATACACTTTTTGAAAAATATAATATATTGAAATCTGAAGCTCGTTAAATTCTACATTTTTAAATATTATAATTATTCCGGTTCTGATTTTATTTACTACAGTACATCATAGTTTTACAGTAGGTCAAAATCGGAACACGCTGACAGAAGTACATACATTCTACTATGTTCAATGAGAGTTGAAAACGGAAAAAGTTGACATAGCAAATCACATGTGCGAAAGTTGACTTTTGTATCACATCACAAGTATTCACCACGTAACTTTCTAGTAAACCAGTTTTTGAAAGTGATGAGATGACGCAATTATCATAGCAATCCCATGTAACTTACGTAGATGATGTAGTAAATCAACTGTGAATGCGATTGTTTAGCTTCAACACACATTATGGCTGCATACTGTTAGATTAATTATCGGTCTTGCTAAAAACTTTCTAAGCTCCAGATTTCAGACGACCTACTTTTGGAAGCTATAGCAAAAAGACAAAACGTCGTAAAAGTTTCAAAATCGGTCATTCTCACATTCAGCCAGAAGACAATATACTCGTTTTTCAGACAGCGCCTATATTTCTCGAGAAAATTGTTACGGAAAAAAACACCTTTTCGATCTGGATACAATTTCGATAATTGCTACAATGCGATTTGTTTTGCACCGCATTAAATATCGTGCACAAGTGTTACAGCCTTTTGCAGCAACAAAATGTGACATCTTCACTATTTATGTTACATGAGAAAGAGAAAAAAGAAAGTTTTATTTTATGTGTTTACTATTTAATGAAAAGAATGAGAAAAAGAAAATTTTTTAATATTTTTGTTACAACTTGATAAGAAGCGTAAAAGAAAGATCATTTTGTTTTAACATAAAATTTGACTTTCAAAAGAAAGAATAAAATTTTCATTCATTTTCGAAAACTCAGAATACGACTCGTAAACTGAATTACCAGTGAGTATGTGTACAATGTTACCATGTTCCTATAACTTTTCGTTTCTTACCTGCCACCGTCTTAGATCATGGACCATGCTGTGGTAGTAATGGAACAACAAAATCGAGAACCAGCACAACAGCCATCGACAAATAACCCAAGTGATCCATCAAATAAACATCCAGATGCAAATGTAACCATTATTACTTCAGCAGCACCACCAGGCCAAAGCTCTTCTACGCCTGTCGGACCGGGTGACACAGAGCAAAGCCCAGCTGTAAAGCCAAATTAAACTGGAAGCTGAGTGATTTGTAACACTTAAGGTAGTGGATGTTATCAGAGTGTTTATGGGCTATAATGGACAATCGATAAAAACTACTTTTTTGCCTTAAAGGGTGGCCCAGAAGTCCTGACTCGATTTGTATAATAATTTTTCTAAAGTAAAACACATGTTTATAAATTTCTCTCTATGATGAAAAGATGCGGTAAAACACGCTCTACAAAATGGCTTTTGATTGATCCCGCTAGCTCATACAGTAAGAAAGTTATAGACTTAGAAATGTGCTTCACAAAAAAGAAAAATT